ATTCATAGAAATAGAAAGTCGACTGGCGGCTTCCGGGGACTGGGGAGAGGTGGGCGTAATCGTCTGATGGGTACAGAGGTTTGGTCGGGGAAGATGAAAACATTCTAGAGATGGGTAGTGGTTATGGTTGCACAATAATGCGAATATACTTAATGCCACTGAACTATACACCTCAAAGTGATTACAACGGCAAATTTTATGTTATGTATATTTCACCACAATAAAAAAAAGGAAAAAAATGCCATTTCGGGTGTACAGTTCAATGACTTTTAGTAACTTAACCACGTGGTGTCACCATCATCATACAGCCGTTTCAGAGCATTTTCATCCCTGCAGTAAGATCCCTGATGCCCGTTGACAGTAAGCCCATTGCTGCCCCGCCCCAAGCAATCACTAATATCATCAGCCGCTATAAATTTGCTTTTGGACGTTTCATGTGAATGGACTCACACGACATGTGGTCCTTGTATCTGGCTGCTCCCCCCGAGAGTGACCTTCTGAAGTCCATCCACAAGAGCGAGCATGTCAGTGCTTCACTCCTCTTTTACTGGCGAATATGGCTTCACTGTGTGGATGGATCTTGTTTCATCTGTCTGTTCATGGAGCCCAGGGTGTTGATGGTGTTTCCAGTTTGGGGCTGGTACACATAGTGCTGCCATGAACAGTCGTGATTTTCCCTCCCAGAGACAGCCTAAGCTGTGCCACGTGTATGCATATGTGTGTGTGTATAGGTTTGTATATATTTATATACCCGTGTATATATATGTTTGTATGCATATATGTGTGTGTGTGTGTATGCGTGTGTATATTTTTTTCTCTAATCCTGCAAGGTAGGCATAATTAGCTGCATTTTGCAGAAGAAAAGAAAGGTTAAATAACCTTTGGGTCACCCAGCTAGGTTCTCTGGGCACAGAAAAGGGTCTGACCAACCGTGGTGGCAGCAGGGTGACAGAGTGGAAAGAATGAGGTTCAAACTGTGAATAGTGAGCGCCGGCTTCTCCGCAGAGTTCGCTCCCCACTGGTCCTCACCGGCTCCTGGTGGCAGGTTTTGGGGGCTGACCCTCCTGGAGACCATCACACTGATGGGGGGCTCACAGAGGGGATTTCCCTCGGGTGGAGAAACCAGGGGCTCTGAGGGGCCACCCAGCAAGCTCTTGCTTGTCTCAGTGACTGTAATTCTGCTTGGTAATTTAGATTACATTTTCCAAAGAGTGGAGGAAGTATTTACCACAGTGTTTAAAAGTGAGGCCTCAGGAGATGGACTACCTGGGTTCACGCGCTGGTGCTGCCACATATTATTAGCTCTGTGGCCTTGGACTACTTACCTACCCTCTCTGTGCCTCAGCTTCTTCATGTGTAAACTATGAATAACTCACTGGGTTGTTATGAGGTTTAAATGACATAATATAGAGAGAGCAAGGATCACACTGGCGCTTGGCCATAATAAGCCCTGAATAAGTATTAAATGTTGTTATTATACTTCTTTGCTACAGAATTATCCTTGGGGGTCCCAGAGCCTGGAAGACACACAGGGCCCTTCCATCATCCTGACTGTCCATCGCTGTGGCACATCATGCCCAAACCTTGGCTTCTTCTCTGCAGGCTCTCCCCTTTGCCCAGGGAGTAAGAGGAGGGGCGTTGATGACAATCCTCCTGAGAGAGAGGGCCTTTGGGAGCTCAAGGGCAGAGAGCACTCCAGCCTAGACTGCCCGCTTTAGGAAATGCTTCATTTTGGGTTTCCTTGGAGTCCCCCTGCCCCTCCCCCCACCACGACAGCCCCTTTATCCTCCACTCTCTCTCAGGGCTCCTCCAGCCCTTCTGCATGAGCCTGCTCCCTGTCCTCCCCTGGGGCATCGTTGCATTTCAGGTGGAGACCAGAGCTAGAGGCGGCTTGGGAGGGTTTATCCGGGGTTTTCTGCTCTGGTTCCCACCCACCTGCATATGCACAGATTCTGGCTGGAGCGGAAGCCTCTCCTCCCTGAGAACTGCTGCATCTCCCCTTCCACCACCAGAGGTGCTTAGCAGAAGCTAAGCCTGAAGCCCAGTGAGATGGCGCTCCCCAGCGGTGGCCGACTGACCAAATCGGGGACGGATACATGGTTCTTGCAGCAGGCCAGATTCTCGAGAATTTAGCCTGAAAGATTCAAAGTCAGACTGCAGTAGTCCATGAACTGGAAGCCTCTGTACCTTTGGGGGATCAAGTGTATAGAGCAGCAGAGAATTTACACAGAAGTGTTTGTGAGTGCGTGTCAGAGAGAGAGTCAGACGGACAGCCTCTCTCAGCTCTTGAAGGGTTTCCCATCTAGAGTTCCAGGAGTCCCCACAGAATGTCCTCTCCTTAGGTGAGAACGTACTCCTGTGCCTCAGTGGCCTTCTCCACCTGGTTGCAGCAAGCATGCTACGGGGCACATGGTGCTCAGAAAGCAGAGCAGCGATTAAAAGCTCTTTAGCAAGAAGTCAGACAGAACTCGGTTTGAATCTTGTCTCTGTCATTTTCTAGCTGTGTGACCTTAGACTAATTGCTCCATCTCTCTGAGCTTCAGTTTCCTCACCTAAAGGGGATGATCAAGTTTACTTCATAAAATTGCTCAGAGGATTACACAAAACAATGAATGTGAAATAGGGTGGTGCTTGGCATATAGGTGATGACCAGTAAATGATAATTTATGTATTATAATTCATACCTTCCTTTAAAATCAACGTTTTATCAGTATGAAATTTGCATGACTCTAAATTACCAACCCAAATTTCTTTTGCTGGTGTTTACATGATATATCTTTTTCCATCCTTTTATTTTCAATCTTCTGTGTCCCAGTATTTAAAGCATGTCTCTTATAAACAGCATAGTGTTATTTTTGAATCTGGTTTAACCATCTTTGTCTTTTCATTGGAGCATTTAGTCCATTTACATTTAATGTAATTACTAACATAGCTGTCTTCTAGTCTACCATCTTGCTACTGGGCACGACCTTTACTCCCAGAATGTGCCCCTTCTGGGGTCTCAACCAAAAGCCTAAGATGTTTGCCAAAGCCCCTGTGTCTCCTCCCCATTAGCAGCAGCTGAAATCTGTTCAGCTCTTCATCTTCTCAGCTGCTGTTTTCTGCTGGGTTTCCCAGAGTTCTCACTGCATGCTTGGTTTAGGAGTCAGCCAGCAACTTGAGGGGAACCTGTATGCAGATTTCTCATTCAGTCCTCTCCATCATTCTTCCTTCAAGTTCCAGCTACTCTGGCCGCCTTAAACTCTGATCTCAGCGCAATAAGACTGCTGCTGCTTTCTGCTATCACCCATTCCTCCCTGCCCTGCGCTCCCCCAATGCCCACCGCCCCCCCCCCCCCCATCCAGTGATTTGGGAAATGCCCTCAGGAAAAACCAAGACAAATGTGACGCTCCTTCATACTTCTCCTTCTCTTAGGGATCGTAGCGTCTCAGATCCTGCCTGCACTGCATGGGTACTCTCCAATTCCTTCAAACAGTTGCTTTCTATATTTTTTCCAGTATTTATAACTATTTTGGCAGGAAGATTAATCTGATACAAGTTATTCCCCTACAGCCAGAACCACAAGCCTTATGCTCTTTCCATTCGCTGAGCCCTTCTCAAAACTGCCTGAGAGTGGGGAGCAAAAGTTTCTGCTGGCAGGCAATTGACTTGAACCTAGTTCAGTCTACAGAGGATGGGATGACCTCATCAGTTGGACTCCAGACAAAGCGATCTGAGATATTTAACTATCAGACTGAAGTTTAGGTATTTGTTAAAAGTTATATGGTCTTGAGAATATGAAAGAATTCAGGAGCCTATTGGGTTCAAGATATTTACATTGCTTAGGATCCTTTTCAAAGGTTATTAGGCCAAAAGAACCAAGAAAATTAAGATCCAATTAAATGAGTGACTTGGTAAGAAGGGCATGCTTCTGAAGGTAGACTGAAGAACAATTGTGTAAGACAATTGCCTATGAGATCGCTTCTCTCAGATTATGAAGTTGACTAAGCAATCATAAATAGCATCCAGTGTCTCTTGGGGATGCTGACAAGAATCAAGTATGCCTCACCAGGAATCTCAAGAATGCTGAGGAGCAATCAGCAAATGACTGGAAACATTTTGGTTTCCTTAGTGGGGGTGAGAAGAACCACTCTGAAAGTCTGCAGCTCTGGCCATCGGTAACCGCGGTTAACTGGGATGGCTGTCGTCGTCTTCAGCGGGCGTGTAGTTTTCAACCCTGGTCCATCAGTCAGGGTCTAGTTGGGGGGCAAAAGCCACATGTGTCATTTTAACAGAGAGAATTTAATATAAAGAATTATTAATCTGGTATTGGACAAATAAAATGGCGAACAGGAGACACAGAGGAATCACACAAGTGGTAACTGCAGGAAGTAATTACCACCTTTAGAAGTGGGGAAACAAGAGAAAAGGTTTGCGGAGGATAGAAATTTAAATAGTTGGGGGCAGGGCTCAGTGCAGCCGGTGCTGCCATCTCCAGGGGAGACGCTGAGCTTGGCTCTGGGAGGGTGGAAAACTGCCAGCTGGAACTAGCTGCAGCTGCTGGTCCCCAACTGTCCCTGCCAGGCGATGATGACAGAGACGGGAAGCAGAGAAGACAGACCCTTCCCAGGCCACCGGCCTCGCGGGCTCCCTCTTGCGGCCCCATTGGCAGACCCCAGGAGGAACCCAGCTAACAAAGAGACAGGTTTGTGGAATCCCAGCCAGCCCCAGGGTCCCAAATGCAGAAACGGCTTGAAGCTGAGAGAAACAGCTCACCAGCACACGGAGAGGCAGGCTTATGTGTAGGAAGATTTAAAAGGAGCAGAACCACAGCACTGGTATTTTTATGTTAGAAGGAATCTGCATATTTGGTGTTTCAGACATGTGATATGTAAGAATGGAAAGCTTAAAGAGTAAGAGATTTATAACTTCACTTTAAACGTGTAATTGAGCAGTTAATTTAGACTTGTGATTTTTTATGGTGACATCTAAGTAGAATATAGAAACATTTAAATTTTCCCTTATTTTTGTAAGTTTAATTTATTAGTTTCCATAAGAATTTAGGATTTGGGAAGATTTTGTATGCTGTCAGAAAAACCGAAGTACTTAAAAAAGAAAGAAACACATGAAGTGTATAAATGCACGTGTTTGAAGGGCTGAGCTGAGCTGGTGAACAGCACCGAGCATTGTTCAAAGGCACCTCCAAAGTTATTGCTAGAATCGGCTAGACTTCGAATAATAAGATTTGTAAGCTCAACTTAAAAGCCTAAAAAAGGTTTTTTAATCTGTATCTTAAATTCAATATTGATTCTAAAGACAAAATTAATTGTATTTATTAAACGATTACCAATTATTAAACTTATTAAAATATTATTTTTAAAGCCAAATTTAAACTTACCAATTTTTAAAGGAAAAAACCCCTCTGACATCTTTTCTACATGAGAAGTCCGCCGTACAGGACAGCAGAGTCCCCACCCCCGGCCCCACTCCCCATCCCCTGAGGTTTTCCTAGAAGTGGCTGGAGAAGAGCAAGAGAAGCAACTTTGCTTCTCCGCTTTTCTGGAAACCCAGAAACCATCTCGCCTTGTAGCAGGCTGAGATCACGCCCTGGCTTGGCTCTTCTGCTTCCTCACCTTCTGTCAAGCCAGGATAACATGAAATAGGATGGCCAGGAGATTTGGGGTGAAGGAACCTGGGGTGGAGTCCCATCTCCATTGCTTAAGGAACTCAAGCCTCAGGTCCCCCCCCCCTCCAGAAAATGGGGGTGATACTGCCTTGCAAGGCTGTCATGAGGACCAGCACAGTGCTGGGCACACCAGCCAGCAGAATCGGAACCTTCCTGTGCTGGATCCTGAGGGCAGCCCGAGCACACTGGCCTGGGACTCTCCCTCTTACTTCTTGGCGGGAGGCAAGCTCTCTCCCCCTCCCTCAGGCACATGTTCCAGGCCCCAAAGGCCCCAAAGGAATTTCTCACCACAGACCGAAAGAGGACAGGCCATGGAAGAGGCCGCTGGGTCGGGAGCAAAGCAGCAGCCCTGGGGGCAGGGTTGGCTCTCTCTCGGCAGGGATGGGCAGCCAGTGGCTGGAGCAGGAAGGGGAGGGGTTGCAGGGAAGGGCTCAGATGTGGCCCCCCTGTGTTCACAGGTCACCTGGCCACTCTGTAGCCCAGTTGGAACATGCTTAGGGAGCAGCAGGGGGAAGGGCCTTGCCACAGGAGAAAGGAGAGCGGGTGAAGGTCCTTTCTGCAAGTACTGGGAGGGAAGGGGTGGGGACCAGAATCATCACCACCCCACTAATTCGTCAATGCACTTCCCTGAGAACTGTCCCTGTATTGCTAGGCCCCAGGCATGCAGCCAGAAGTCCTCCACACCCCTCCCTGCCCAGCACATGCACTGAGAAGGCACAGAGGCGCATGCCTCCTTCTCCCTGGAGAAGCGGTGCGGAGGGCCCCGGAGGAACGTGGGCGCAGCAGGGCGCGGGCGCGGGGTGGGGGGGGGGGTGGTGTGGCGGTGGAGGGCGGCTTCCTGGACAGTGCCAGTCCTGGTGAGGCTGACACTGGTTCACAGGGAGTCAGAGGGCAGCAAAGGAAGCCAGAAAGGCAGGTGGGGGCCAGCTGGGGAAGGACCTCAGAGTCAAGTTCAGGGGCGTGGATTTTGTTGGAAGCCAGGGAAAAGTTTTAAGCAGGGATTGCATTTTAGAAAGATCAGCTGGTGGTGTCCATAGGGAGAGAGGGGTCTGGAGACAAATACGGGAAGTACCAAATCGTAGGAGTCCAGACAGGGAACCACGAGGGCCTGACAGGCACATGACACAGAAAGTAAGAGAAGGGTTGGAGCAAGGGACTCCAGCATCGTGGTCACCGTGGGAGTCCAGGCCATGGTGGGTGGAAGTCAGGCTTAAAGGCCCCTGGGCCAGGCCAGCCAGCTTCCCCTGACCCCACCTGCCCAATGCAGTCTCACCCTCCTGGGGTCCCCAGTACACCACGTGGTGGCCTTTCTCCCACCGAGAGAGATGTCAGCAGAGGAGGCTGCAGAGGCAGTGCCCACAGACACCATGAGATGGAGAGTATCCTGGATTAGGGGGTGGGCCCAATGGAATCACGGGGGTCCTTGAAATTAGAAGAGCGGGGCAGGAGGCAGGCTGGCGTGATTCGATGCGAGAGGGATTCAACCCACCACTGCCGTTGTTGAAGACGAAGGGGCCACAAGCCAAGGAATGGAGGCGGCCTCTAGAACCTGGCAAGGACAAGGAAATGGAGTCTCTCAGAGAGGAGAGGAGGGCAGCCCTGCTGACACCTTGATCTTCACCCAGTGAGACCCACGTCAGGCTTCCAGCCTACAGGGATATTAAACGTGTGCTGCTTTAAGCCACTAACTTGTGGTGACTTGTCATGGCAGTTAGGAAACCAAAGCAAACGTGAGGCTGGCTCCCTGTCGCTCAGGTCTCAGCTCGAGTCAACTTTGGAGAGGCTTTCCCTAAGGCCGCCCTCTCGTCGCTCCTCGTCACTCTTCTGCCACTTTATTTCAGCCAGTTCATGATTTGAAATCCTATTGACATGATTCCCCTGTTAGATTGTAAGTTCCCAGAGGACAGGCATTTGGTCATCAGTCCATCTCTGCATCCCCAGACCAAGAAAAGTGCCTGCACAGTGGCAGCTCCACGAATGTTTGGTGGGTCGATGAGGGGATGCGTGAGAGAACACGGGGGCACACCCGCGCCGTGAAACCTACGCAGGCCGAGCGCTCAGCGGCTCCTCTCCGTCCTCACAGCCTCTGAAGGCTCAACCGAAATGTACACGCCCCCCTCAATCCTCCAGCATCTTCGCTCAGTTCAGGTCACCTCTCCCTCGGGCTTATGCTGCTCTAGCCCTCCCGGGAGAGGAAAATATTATAAATTCCCTCTGCCGGACAGAATCAGAGGGGAAGGTATGGGGAGAGTCCGTGAGGAAATACAGCAAGGGTTCCCTCCAGGTCAAACGCTCCAGGAGGAGAGACCAAGCTGGTGTAGGAGAGGCCTGGCCCTCTCCGACTTGCTCAGTGTTTCCAGGGCGCTGCAGACAGGCGGTTTCTCCAGGAAATGGCTTGCCGGTGCAGCCAAGGACAGCAACAAAGCCCAGGGGAGACCGGCGAGCTGCGGCCGCTGCCCACCGTGGGGCACAGGCAGGGAAGGCAGGCTCAGGTAGTGCAGACAGGACACACAGACTCATGGGCTGCCGCACTTGCACATGCAAGCGAGACGCACAGTGCGGGGCAGGGCGACGTGTACAAAATGCTGGTGACTGAGTCCGTGTTAGAAACAGACAACATGAAAGGCTTCTGGCTTGTGAGCTCACTCCGAATTTAGAGTCGTGATCACTTCCTGTCATTAAACCTCAGCCACAGGAAGATCCTAGCTTCAATAACAAAAATGAATCTTCATCTCATCAAGGGGAGAAAAAGTGGTTAAAAACACTACAGCTGTCACTCTCGCAGTAGTTCTGACGGCTAACGTGCCCAGAAACATCAAGAAAACTTTTTTCTGTACAGTCTGAAATATTTACTGTCCAGTTATCAGGGGTGTTCCTCAAAGGTGACGTTGTAAACTGACTAACAGCACTTAAGTGCACTGGGTCTGAAGTGACAGTCCCATTCTCGATCTAAGAGCTCACATATTTAACTGATGACTGCTGTCCTCATCAGGGGCATTTTGTATATGGAAAAGACATTTTAAAAACATATACTGTGAATGTTGCAAACTAAAAAAGCAAATCCAAGCACGATTAATTACTTTGCCTGGATCAATAAATGCTAGTGCCAAGTGCTGTCGTATACCAAGGAGGACAAAAGCCCTCAGTTGAAGAAATCATATTGCTGCTACTTACTGATATTCCATTTCCTAAATGCATGTTAGTCAATTTGTGGACTTTATCCAACACACACAGATTTTTCTTAGCTTGGAATTCTCAGATCTCTTTTGGACATTTCTCTTCCATCACTCTCTTAGAAGGATGAAAATGAAACGACTTTTTAAACAGAATTTCCAAATTACAAGCCACCAAAAGCACAACTCAGGTCATATTTCAGATCTTCACCCAGAAGGGAAATGCCATCAAGGTTTGGATGTGCTGAGGTCTCTCCCCCGCTGGCAGCTCAAACTTCCTCATCCTCTCCCAGCCACCTCCCGCCCCTTTCAAAGCCAAGCTGACTCCCGTCTCTGAGATTTCACAAACAGAGAGACTAAGAGAACACCTAGAAGGTGCCAGAAGGATCCAGAGCCTTCTCTTTTTTCTGGAGCTGTCATCAGTGGGGCCAACAGGCAAATACGAAGAGAAGAAGAGGGGTTCAGGGTGGATAAGAGCCGGGGCCCGGAGGGAGCACTGTGGAGGACCGGCACAGCACCAAAGCCCACTGCCCCAAACAGCATTCTGAGACCTCACATGGGAGAAATTCCAGGCCCTTCCGGGCACTTCTTTAATCCCAGGGAACGAACATCTCTCCAAAAGGCCCCGCCCACATCTCCCCGTCTCCCCTCTGGAAAGCAATGAGACCTGCCACTCGGCTCCCAGAGCAAGCTGAGACCCCTGCAGCAGCTTTTCCTCTAGACTATGACACGCACACACACAGGCCCTTCTGGATTCAAGTCCGGCAGCTTCCAGAGCTGCAGCCCATGAGCCCTGCCCGCACGGAGGACTTTCCCCTCACCCACTGCCAGGCTCCGTTCTTAGGGGTGTTGCTTACTTTTTAGTCTGAAGACACGCCCCGTTGGAAATGAGCAGTGCAAGATCCTACGTGCAAATATTTGCAATTTTTTTTTTAAATGATGCACATTTAAAAAAATTCAAGTCAAATCCAGGAACAGACTAGCTGGTTGGTAGCAGCTGGCCCCTCACTCACACTAGGAAAATGGTCAGTTTCTGAAATGAGGGAGGGAGGAAGGCACCAGCTACGCCACCGGGGAGGTCAGTTCCTTGAGCTTGGGAAGAAGCCCAAGAGGGAAATGCTGAGGCTTGATCGGAGACGGGCTCTCCCCACCCTTGTGGCCCCCCTGAGCCAAATGCCAAAGGCAGCATGGAGGGTCTAGATGGAGGTGAGGGTGGCCCCTCACCCACGAGGCCGGCAGCTCTTCCCCAGGAATTCTGAAACTAAAACAAGGAAGGCGCATCCCCAGAGCCCTGCTGTGTAGGGCTGCAGGCTACCTACACTCCACTAGACGGGAGCAGAGGTATCTCGCTGTCACCCGTAAGGCTCCGCATCACCGGAACCCAAAGGGACTCTGAAAGCCAACACATCCTGGATGGTTTTGCGTGTGGCCCAGACAAGCTCCTGCTATGGGAATGCCAGGGATACGGGATATATCATTGGGAGTATGAGGCAGTCCAGTATCTGAGGGGAAAAGGCCCGGAGGTGAGCATGTGAGTTAGGCAGGCAAGGCTGGAGGTCAAGAAGTGAACATTAGCAGTTGGGTCTGTGTGTCTGCAGAGCAGCGGTCACAGTCATGACAAAGGGAGGCTGACAACAGGGATTTACCCAGCGCACTCAGACTAGGCCCGAACCCAAAAGGCCAGAAGGCAACATGGCCCAAAGGAGGAGTCCCTCAGCTGCCCGGGACGGGGCATCCTCATCCTGGTGGGCGTCCAGGCAGGAGCTGGGAAGTCCCGAGGTGGGCCTTCAGCCGAGGGAAGCACAGTTTAGCTCCGAGCCCTCCTGGCTGCCCGCTGCCACCTCCCCCAGCTCCTCAGTGCTGTCGGTGATGTTGGGCTCGCTGGAGCACTGCCGGTGGGGCGGAGAGAAGCTGGGTGGCAGGAGCAGGTGCTGGTCCTCAATGCCCGGCTCCTCGCCCAGGCCTGAGTGCATCATGGTGGCCATGGCCAGCAGCTGGATGTCCGAGTGGGCGTTGGCCACCGTGTGCCGCCGGACACTGCCACACTTCTCCAGGTAGGCCTCCCCCTCTTGCTCCGTCAGCGGGGTCAGGGCCATCTCGTTCAGGGGCCGGCTGACGGTGGTCACTGGGGAGGTGTAGTTCAGGAGAGTCACCTTGGGGTGGACCCGGGAGTGGCGCCTGGCTGCAAGAGAAAAACCAGCAAAGGCTGTAATGGCGGAGAGAGAGCAGGAGTCCAAAGCTCGGGATCTGTCGCGGGAGGAGGGCGGTGGCAGCTCCACCTGCAGGACCAGCGTTGGGTGCAGCCTGCGGCAACGCGAGGGGCGACCTTGGGAGGGCTGAACTTTTCTCTTGCAGCTTTATCTGTTTATGCCAGATGCTGCCCCCGACCAACCCTCCCCACGTATTAGGGGTCACCAAAGGACTTTCCTGATAGACTGGGTTCAAGGGCATCTCTCTCTCCCCAGCTGCTGCCCAAGCTTCACTGGATTTGCCCTGAATTCCCTTTCAACCAGTCTCCTCTGAAGACCTGGGCACTGGCTGGACCAGCTTCTAAAAGAAGTCTTCTAGCTCCATTCAGCTAGAGGTGGCTTCTGCAGGGTCAACCTAAGATTAAATCCAGAGGAAGAGGTAACTGGGGGCCCCTCAGCCATCAAAGCTAGCACAGTGGGACATCCCCCAAATCCTCCTGAGCCAGGACCATCAACGCTCCTCTCCTCCAGCCAGGACGACGGTCTGAGACCCACGTTCTGTACAAGTCAGTATCTGGATTCAAACAGCCTTCAGCACCGTCACCAAATGGGCTAGGCTCCAGGAAGGCAGACAGGAAGAGCGAGGGCCGGACACGGATTATGATGCTGCTGCTGCTGCTTGAATCCTCACCACGTTCCAGAAACTTGACATACATTCATCTTCTGAATCCTCCTAAGAACTGAACCTAAGTCTTGATGCATCATTAGCTCCCACTTTACAGGAGAGAATGCTGAGCCTAGAGAGGTAACAACTTACCCGCGCTCACCCAGCTAGAACGTAGGAGAGCCGGCCTTCCAGCAAGGTCTGTCTCTGCAGACGTTGCCCGGCCAGCTGCCGTGCAAGCACACAGACACCTATCACCAGCGAAGTTCCCGAGGGAAGGACAAGCCATGTGTGTGAGGTTCAAAGAGAGGAAAAAGCTTGCCACCGGGGGACAATCGGGAAACTTGCCAGGGAGGATGTACATTGGAGATGGGCCTTCAAAGTAGCAGAGCTCCCAGAAAGGAGGGGGTGGTGGCGTTCTTTTTTTTTTTTTTTTGAGGAAGATCAGCCCTGAGATAACTACTTCTAATCCTCCTCTTTTTGCTGAGTAAGACTGGCCCTGAGCTGACATCCATGCCCATCTTCCTCTACTTTATATGTGGGACGCCTACCACAGCATGGCTTTTTGCCAAGCGGTGCCATGTCCGCACCCGGGATCCGAACTGGCAAACCCTGGGCCACTGAAGCGGAATGTGTGCACTTAACCGCTGTGCCACCGGGCCGGCTCCCCGAGCACCACAGGCCATGGGCTGGCTGGACCCAGCACACACGAAGCGAGGAGATGCACCCCAGCAGGTGGGAGGAGCCGTGCCACAGGATGGCCCTCGAAAGCCCCAGGGAACCACCTGTGAGCAATCAGAAGCAGGCGGGGTGGGGGCTGGGCCTCAGGGACACTCACTGGGCAGGAGCCAGCACAGCTGGAGCCTGAGAGGCCAGAAGTCAGGAAAGCCAGCGAGACCACGTATAATTTTCTATAATGAATATGGATTACAAGTGGAAAAAAATCAGCACTAGCATCAGAGTCATGGTGACAGGTGACCCAGACATGTGGTGGTGATGGGGGCCAGACGAGGAAGAGGATGGGCCGGCGATGCCAGAGATGACACGACAGACGCCAACAAACAAGGGGCCGAGGGCTGGGGAGGATGCAAGACGGTGGCAGCGCCAGGCCGGGGGCAGGACCACAGGGGAGGGGCTGGGACAGCCAGCGGACACGCCATTTTGAAGTTGGGGAAAGAAGTTGCAGTTGAAGATAGAAATTTGAATATATTCCCAAAGTATTGGAGCATGTAAGAAAATGTTCACAGAATAATATTTGGTGACAAAAGCAGAATATAAACATTATTATTATAATATGCATTTTTTTCCTCTTTTAAACAAAACTGGGGTTATACCAGGTGTTGCATTCACACACATACATGCACACGTATGTATAACACCTAAGAAGTTTATACATCAAAATGTTAATAGTAGTTATCTCTGGGTAGAAGGATTACAGTGATTTTTAAAGTTTCTCCTTTATCCTTTTAAAAAATATTTTCCACATTTTATTCCACGTGCATGCATTTCTTTCAAATGAGGAAAAAACATTTTGGGATATAACAACTCTGGAGTCCCCGATGGCTGTGGCCCTCAAAGAGAACATGACCCCTCTGAAAATGAAGAGAGGGGTCAAGGGTTAAGTCATCTCTCGTATGCCTGCATGCAGCGGGCGGACGCTGCCAGAACGACGATTAAATCACTGATGATAACGCAGCCGGGAGCACTGAAGAGGGGCGGGCGCTGCTCTAAGCACCTTGCTGTGACCCCTCTCCCCCCAGGGAAGGGGGTCCTGTTACCATTACTGCCACCTTACAAAGGAGGAAGCCACAGCACCGAGAGGTCACGTAACCTGCCCAATGTCACTAAGAGGAGGCAAAGCTGGCCTGGAACACAGGTCCTGACCTCCAGAAGCCAAGCATCTTCACCGATGAGCCCCCCGCCTCTCCAGGAGGAAGGAAACACGAGGATGGGCTGGAGAGGCGGGAGAAGAACTGAAACAGTCAAGCAACTGAAGCCCAGGGAGAAGATTCCAAAGGAGGAAGCATAGATACCAGCCACACAGCAATTCCCAGGGCCTCTCCTCTCCCCTCCACGAGAAGCTCCCTCTGGGGTGGCTCCCCTGGAGGCACCTGGCTCTTCCCCGCTGAGGCGCGTGTCGGCTGCGTGAGCTGGATGAAAGATCCCAGCGCAGCGGAGGAGGCTGAGGGCGTAGGGTAAGGAATGCCGGGTCGGGGGGCTCTGCGCCAGGCCTCTGCTGCTTTCCAGCTGCCCTCTTCCTGTCGGGGCACTCCTCTCCCAGCCTTCCAGCAGCCCACCCAGTGCAGGGCCCCTGAGACCCTGAGGACCCCAAAAGAAACCCACTCCCTCTCTCAGCAGGGGACGGAGCAGGGAGCAAAGGAGAAAGGCCTGAGCGCAGACCAGCCCTGGGTGCTCTGACAGGATCAGGAGAGCACGCGGTGCCGCTATGGACAGGCCTTGGGGACGCGGCCTGTGTGCTTTAGTTTACTCCTGGCTCTCTACTTGGATCTGGGGGCCCTGACACACACTAGGGTCACTTCCAAAGCTCCCCTGCTGGACGGACGTAGCAGCGAGACCTGCCACGTCCCTCTGTTCAGCTCTCAGCAGGGCCTGTCACCGGGCGGTTTATACGTGCTGTGCATACACATGTCCATCTACACACGTATGTACATACAAACAACGACGAGAGAACAAAACCCTAACCCTTAGGAATAAGTCGCCAAGTCTGCTGGCTCGGAGCCCCAAGGGAGCTGTTTGGCAGTAGGACAATATGTTGTCATGCCCGTTGTTCACAGGGGAAGACTGTGGCTCCACCAGCTCCTCGGTTCTAAAGGGTAGTGCCCAGACCCCCACTACACCCCCTGTGTGCCTGGCCACGCTGCTGCTGCCGGCCCACCTGCCGAGGTCAGGTGACAGCAACCACGGCCCCCAGCAGGCACCAGACAGGAGGCTGTGTAGTCTGGGGGAGGCTGGCCACTGGCCCCCTCGCTGGGAAGAAAAATAGGAGACAAAATGCCAAGGAACAAGCAAGACAGAAGAATCCACGCCAGGCGTTCGCAGAGGCTCTGCCTGAAGCACGTGTGCTCCAGCCATCCACGCCCCGCATTTCTATCACGTTCCCACATCTTTACAAGAACCATGCATTACTTTTATGATCACAAAAATCGATAACTATAAAACAGAAGCACTGGAAGAGTTCAAAGAAGCAGGGACCTCATTAAAGAACCATCCTTAAAAAAATGCCCTTGAGGGCCGGCCCCAAGGCCAAGTGGTTAGAGTTCTGCGTGCTGCGCTTCGCTGGCCAGGGTTTACAGGTTCGGATCCTGGGTGCAGACCTACTCAGCTCATCAGCCAGGCTGTGGAGGCATCCCACATAGAAAATAGAGGAGGACTGGCACACATGTTAGCTCAGGGCTAATCTTCCTCACTAAAAAAAAAAAAAAAAAAACACCCTGGAAAACAATTCATTTCTCTCCCACTGCTGTTAAAAGTCAACACTTTAGATTGGTGGGAAACCTGTGCTGTGGCCCGAACCCTACACCCAGCCTGGCCGGAGAGTGGCCAGACTGTTTGGTCTGCGTGCAGGTCTCTGTGTTAACGAGACCAGGTGGCTGCGGGCAGGAGCGGGGCGGGGTCTGTGTAGATGACAGGGCCACAGGGGCAGACAGCATCTCCACAATGTCTACTGTGCACAGAGACTCCAGTGATGTCTTACGGGAGTGTGGCAACCCAGGGAATGATTCTGCTTGGGGACGGGTATCTGGAAAGGAGCAGGACTAATGTTAGGCTTTCAGCGTGGCTAAGACCTGGGCCAGGCAGACATGAGGGGACACACAGTCCAGGGAGAGAAAAGAGCTGGAACAAAGGCAGAGGGGATACAGGGCAGCTTAAAGGAACGGGACAGGTGTGCACAGCAGACACATGCAGCATCTCTGGAGGAAGTGAGAATTCATTCCATCACTTCCAGGGGCCCCAGCTGGGTAGCAGGAGCCAGGAAAGATGTCGCAGACAGGTGCCCCCACGTCGTCCAGCAGCCTGACTGAAGCTCTTGGAGGGCTCAACAGGGCAGCAAACAGACAGGAGCGTCCACTTCACCTGCTACTGAGAGCTGGAGCCAGAGTGAGGGGGGTCAGCCTCAGGGAGGGGGTCTCAGGAAACCCATCCCTCCTTCAACAAACATTTCCTCAGCTACTATGTGCAAAATGCCGTGCTTGCTGCTGAGAAACATAAAGCCGATGTGGGGCCTGGCCCAGGGGGTGGAGCCACGCGTGATCAGAGTGTGAGTGTGTGTGTGTGTGTGTGTGTGTCTGTGTGTGTCTGTGTGTCTGGTGGAGGGTAGGGTCCACTATGTGCTCGGAACTGTATCCAAAAGGGAGGCACCTCACTGACGCTGACATCGTCTCCGGAGCATTCTGCAGAAAAGGCACCTGAAGCCGAGATGCTAAAGCACCATGACAGTCAGCGAGGAAGCCAGGATTCCAGCCCAGGGCTGACAGCAGAGCCTGGCTCCTGAAATAACTGTTAAAACCCAGCCCACACGACGACTGTTGGGGCAGAGATACAGACGAGGGCACCTGGGGGTTCAGAGAGGAACCGTCATGCAGAGGGGTCCTTTCAGAGGGGCCTGCTCCCTGACAGGGACTCAGCGACTGACCCCAGCCTGGCCACTGGCTCACTCACTCCCTGAGAGGCGAGGGGTGTGAGGCCTGGGAACCGGGGGCCCACGCGCTCCCCGCCCTCAGCAGGCGCACGGTCTAACGGGGAGACTGACAAATAATCGGGCCAGGACTACCCAGCACAGCAGGGCCCGAATGCTGTGTGGGGCCCCCGGGAGGCACGCACAGCTTCTCCCTGGAGTGGCCCATGCAGCTGCCTCGGCCGGGGCCACAGACCACAGACGCAGGGGTCAGCCTCCTCCTCCTCTGAGCGCCCCAGGCCCAGAGATGTGACTGCAGGCCACACCGCTGCAGAGCTGCCGCGGCTCCAAGGCCAGCTGCCCGTCCCGTCCCGCCCCTCTCCTCCGCTGGCCCCTGCCCCGGCTCAGGGCGAGGCTGCGGCTCTGCCTTCTGCTTTCTGGCGGAGTGTTTTGGCTCCCAAGACTGGGTGTGGGCAGCGCCGAGACCACAGGCCCGCCGGGCTGTGCGAGTCCCCTGGGCAGGCAGTGCTTCCTCACCAACTCCCACCAGACTCCAGAGCCAGCCCCAGAAAACCGTGGGCTGCCTCCCCACCGGTCGGCCTCTGGGCCCCTCCGAGGCCTGCAGACCTGCGCTGGGCCCACAGCGCCCTGCTCGCTGTCTGCACCAGGGGAGGCCGGTGCCTGCCCCTCAAGGAGGGGATCCTCCCATCAAGGGCCCGAGGAAGCGGTGGGCACCCCCAGGGCCTAAACACCTGCTCCCTCCCTTGCTGCGGGGCCCTTTGAGCAGGGGGGCACTGGCTGACGCCCCAGCCTCCCCCTGCCTTTCACTCGGCAGGGGGGGGGGGGGGCGAGGCGAGGGGGCGGGGCCTTCCTTCCTCCCCGCCCAGGGCCTCTGAGCCCTGGCACTCATCACCCTACACCGGGGCCAACAGCAGCGGCTCCTTTCAAACCCCCAGAGAGAAGCCAGGCGTGGACGGGCGCTCTTCAGGCGGGAGGCCTGCAGGAGGCCAGGGCTTTCGCTGAGCAGGCCGGGCGCCCGCTGCATGAGGACCCGGCACCTGGGCAAAGTGGGGAGCAGGGGACCCAGGGAGGGCGCACAGGCCTGGCGTCCACATGTTCGTGATATCACTGTCTCCGTCCTCACTCGTGCTCCCTGGGCCCTAGAAAAGTGACAGCTTCGCAGGGGAGGACACACACACTCACTCCACTATGGCCTCGGGCTCGTCTTTTCTCTGGAGCAAGCCCTGCACATACAGGGCTGAAGCTCACTCCTCATGCCCATCTGCCGCCTGGCAGGAACAGAGACGCCCCCAGACTCCCCACAGGGTCAACACAACACACGTGGGCACCTGGTGCAGCGAGGGGTTCCTGTGAAAACCACTTCTCTGGCTCTGGTCACCTCCCCCATGTGTGACCCTGGGGACTTTTCTTAACAACTCTGAGCCTGAGGGACCCACCCCTCAGCAGGACGGCAGCGAGCACAACATGAATCCACGCCAAGCGCGGGCTCAGTAGCTGAGAGGTGACAGGCATTTGATAAGCGGTGGCTTTGGAGCCCATCGGCCCAGCTGCCGTGACCTCTCCCACCCCAGCCAGGCCCAGGGCGGACAGAGGGGCAGAGCCCACGGTGGGTGTGGGGCTCCTCAGGTCCAAGGCATCTCCTCGCTACACTCATTCCCACAAGCAGGATGAACATAAACTTATGCTCGTCTCCGCTTTACTGGGGATGAGCTTTTTTACTTTCTCCTGAAGGAGTGTCCTCGACGAGGCAGGCAGCACAGCGGCCACCTTAGCTTTTTGGTGCCCAGAGGTTGGAGGTGAAATGTCTGGCCTTCAATGCCTCTTGGGCTAAGGAATGAGAGGGACGGACTGCCTCCAGGAGTGGGTGGGGTCGGGGGAGGCTGGAGCCTGCAGGACAGCTGGGGAAGTGCAGACCTGGGGCTCCGGAATCCTGGCCCCAACAGCCCCGTGACCTCAATCCTCATCTGCCTCACCCATGAAATGGGAACAGCAGCGCCCCCGCCGTGGCCTGGAACCCTGCCCACCCCACACAGTGCCCAGGACGTGATCTGTGTCCAGTGGCTTCCCCTGCCATCGGCCGCTTGGCAGCTCTGAAGCTCTGTCAGTTCCTCCAACACCACAGCCTCCTGCTCACTGCTCTTCCCACCCCGAAAGGCCCCCAAAGATCCTTCGCTTTGCCTGCCTCAGGCTGCCCTCCCAGTCTACTTGGCTAACTTGTACTCATCCTCCAGGCCCCATCACAGATGTCACTTCTTCCGGGGAGTCTTCCTGGATTTCTGGGTCCCCGTGCCGCACCCCTGCCGTGGCCCCGCTCAGAGCAAGCGTATGCTGATGAGCCACCATCTGTTCTCCGTGACCCCCTCACGGGACAGACCGTGCGCCCAAGGAGCCAAAGGACTAGTGCACAGATACACCGGCAGCACCTCACAAGGTGCCAGGATGGGGTTTCAGAACACATTTGAGGAAATAATAAAACCAAAAGAGGGCCATTCCCTTCCCTCTCTGCCCCTACCGAGACAGACGACGCCCCAGAGGCCAGGACTGCCCTTGGCTCAAGGCCTCTGCTTTACAACTCGACTGAAGTAGCCATTATTAGTACTTTCGCTGAAAGCTGAAGGCACCCCCTCTTGGAGTGAATCTCCTGTCCCGGGCGCCAGGCCCAGCTGGTGGCGGAGTCCTGCCACAGCCCAGCTGGCCGCTGGCGTCCGACATCTGCCTGGCTCCTCCCGCCCCAGCCCAGCCCCAACTTGGAGCCCGAAGAGCAGGAAGGTGGCTCCGGGGAGGGAGGGCAGGAGCCTGTCTCCCCTCAGCTGTCACGTCTGCTCTGGCTTGTTCCAGCTCTCAGTGGAATGAGGGAGGGATGGTCAGACAAGGGGGACCCGGCAGGCAGCAGGCTGGGGCCAGCACCCTCTGACTTGTGGCTCTGTCTCCAGAGAAACCTGACAAGAACCCCTGGCGCCGGCCTGCCCCGTGTGTCCGCAGCCTCGAGGCCCAGGAAGGGGCAGAACTCCACTGGCACGGCTCCTCCCCCAGCTCTGACCAGGTTCAGCCACAGCTCCATTAGAGCAAGAGGAGGGAACGGCAGCTTCCACATGCGGGGCATCTCCTTCTGCACCTGCACCTCCCTGTGGGTGCCGGTCCCCTGGCCTCGGGTGCAGGGCCTGCCAGCCATCTAACATCTTTTTTTGAGTGCCTACTGTGCACAGACACCATTGCAGTTCCTGGAGAAAGGGCAACAAACAAAAAGTCCCAGCACCTGGGGCTTTATTTCAGAAAGTGACTGAGGAGTGTCTTTTAGGATAAGCCTTATTCTAGAGCCATTTGCCGTCTAGACCGCGGGCTCTCGGAGAGAAGGAACCGATCCTTTCATCTCTAGAGTCTCCAGGGGGCCTGGCACAGAGCCTGGCACTCACCAGTGCAAGCTTTACAGCCACCAAAAAAGGCCCTGATGGGATTTGTCCCCAAGTCCAGGAGCCCCTTCCTGGGCGGGAAGGCCCTGGTGGCACCTACAGAAACGAGCGGGAGCAGCAGCTCCATCCCATATGGCCACACTCGCAACAACCTGGCCCCACGTCTCGGGCAGCTTCCACAGGGAATCCACCCCGGGCGGGTTTTCCCTTCAGGTGGGGGCAGGCACATGAAAAAGATCAAAGCCACAGATCAGGTGAGCATCACCCCAGAGGCACAGTTTCCGTCCCTGGGAAGGAATCACCGAGCAAGAAGGTTACTGTGACACAGGCTAGCCAGGGTACGTGAGTGATGAGCAAGCACAGGTTTGCACAGAGCCACACTGGAAGCTAAGGGCTTGGCACATAATCGGGGCTCAGTGACACACAGGTGATAGTGTGATCACTGAGGCTCCCAGCAGCTCGAGAGTCGGCCCCTTACCCAGCGTGAACGTGGGGCCTGAGACACCACGGTCCTCACTGATGCCCAGGAAAGGAGACACCACTTGCTTCACCAGCTCCTCCAGCTGCAGATAACCCTCACTAGGGCCTGTGGGCTCGTGAACACTCTGGAAATGAACATCAAGAGAGACAGAGGTCATTCAAAGTCTCCAGGCCAGCTGGGACTCAGTCAACAAATCCTGACTGCCCGCCTTGTGCGTACAAGGCAGGGACGCCAGTAGGCAGCATCCTCATGGCTGGAGCAAAGGGAACTGAGGCCTGAAGCTGAGTCACTTGTCATGGGTCACGGTGCCCAGAACAGTGCATGGCAGGTACCATGGCAGCCACTCCTGTTGAGTCCCACCAATGCAGGCTGGGCGGGACTGTCCCCATGCCAGCTCCAGGGTTGACGTCTGACTGGTCCCAACCACAGTAATCCCACCCGCACTGGCAGTGACTGCTTCACATTCAACCTGTGCGCACGTTCTATAAGCACTGTACGCATATCAAGCTCAGAGGCCTCCCAACAACCCAAGGAGGAAGGCGCTCTCGCCGTCCCCCTTCTGCAGATGAGGGAATTAAGGCCCAGAGAGGCTAAGTCACTTGCCCAGGAAAACACAGCTGGTAAGTGGCAAAAAGGCAGGACAGGAACCAGGCCGTGTGGCTCCGAACACATCTTACTGCCGCTTGTAACCAGGCTAGAAAAGAAAGGGACAGAATATGGAAAAGCCCAGAACAGTCGAAGAAAGGAAGAGTCACTGTGGAACTAGACATAGAGGTTCAGCACCGAGATGAAGAGTGAGTTCAACAGCGCAGCATGACCCGAGCCGCAGAGCAAGGCCCACAAGGAGCATGGCGGAAACAAATGGCCACACAGTCACCACCAGAAGGAGCCAGGGAGTAACCAGCGTTTCCAGAAAACCAGCAGACGCCCAGGGAATTCAGTCTTCCCCTGGCAAGGACTCGAAGCCACGCTCTGGGATGGAGGGGCTGCAGGCGAGCAGAGAGACAAGGCTCCGTGGGGCTGTGCTCAGCCCAACAGGTTGTCCCACCAAATTCTCAAAGCAGAATTGATTTTAAATCACCATCACTTAAAAAGTAAAAGCTCTCCACTGCACCAGAGTGTTCGGGGATGGGAGGGAAAGACGGTCGGGCAATGGAGCCGGAAGGGCCAATGCCACAGGTTGGAGGTCAGTGGGGGAGATGAAGCTCCCAGGAAACAGGCTGACTCAGCTCAGAGTGACGGGGTTGGGGTGGTAGAGGGAGGGGGTGGGCGGCTAAGGAAACAGAGGAGGCAAGGAGGGGGCTACCGTGCAGCAGACCTGGAGGCAGGGCTGGGAAGGGGTCAGAAAGGAGGAGATGCAGAGAAAAAGTGGGTGGCTTCAGTAAGGGCTCCTGGCACTGGAAGGCAGCGATGGGGAGAAGGCAATGGCTTCTCATGCCCCAGGCGCCAATTCTGCTCAGCCTGAGCTGACCCCGCGGAAAGCCAGCAGCGGAAAGAAAGGGGAAGTGCAAAGGAGGTCCCTCTCGGAGGAAGACATACACATCTGCCCAGCAGGCCGTAGACGGGGGAGGGGAGCCTTATTCACGCTCCCGGGGACCCACCCCAGGCCTCAACAGCAAAGCGGCCCCAAAACCACCTTGATGGGGTTTCAGAGCCGCGGAAACGTTTTTTCCACTTTCTTTCCTCAATATTTCTCATCTAACTTCTCCCCCCAGCCTTTCCTCCTGATAATTCATAAGTGTTAAACAGATAGGGATGACAGAGAAAGGAGAAAAGGCAAGAGGTGGGAAGAAAACGGGTAAGGAATGTGTGATGTGGAACTGGACCGTTTGCTCCCATGGGGCTGCTGAGAACCTGGCTTGCACGTGGCCCTCAGGAAGGAGCTGCCCTTGCCCTCGACCTGGCTGCAGGGCCAGCTGTGTATTTGCAAGTGCAAAATGAAAATGCAGGGTCTTTTGTTCAAAAATTATTAAGAATTCCAAGATGGCAGTGGGAGAGAATTAAACCAAGCCTGGGCCCTGCTGAGCGTGGGGCCCTGGGTGACTGCACAGGTCGCAGCCTCTGCCTGGCCGGTGGGCAGCTCTAGGACGATCTCAGGACCCGTCTGCACCTGCCAGGAGGAACCAGATCCCACAGCGCTCAAACTCCCAGGTTCGGCCTGAGGACAGGAGCACACAGCCCACAGTAGGGAAGGCTGAGTCCTGTGTGTATTCAGGGGGAGGGGTGTGTGCAGGGACATTTGGGAAGAGTTTTGGAAAAGGGAGCCGTGAAGGCCTGAGAAATGGCTCTCTCTTCTTCTCTGTCAGAGTCAGGCAGGGAAGCCACCCCAGACCTCGTGGCACTGTGGGGAGCGGGGCTGCGGGGAGCGGGAGCAATTCTGACTACCGGGCCCAGCTTTCCTGCAGCGGGAACGGTCCCAGGGCAGCACAACCTCTAAGTTCCATTCAGAGCCAGAAGCTGCCACCCCTGCTGCTCAGGAAGACGGACCTGGACTGGGGAGAGACCCGTGTTCATCACTGTCACACTCCCAGCCCAGGCTCTCCAGGTCCCAGGGTGAGGAAGAACAGGCCCCCAGGGGAATAATGCCGAACGCCCTGCATTGGAGTGGGACCATCTGGAAGTTCACAGGCATTTCCGAGCACCCGGGAGACTGCGGGAGGGGAGGTGGTGGAGGCTAAGAAAGGCCAAGTGGAAAGTAGAGAGAGCAGGAGCTGAGGAGGGGTACCAACCTGCTCTCTAATGAGCACGTGACCTTGAGCTGGTCAGCCACCGTCTCAGACCCTGCATCTCATCTGTGGAGCGGGAAGACAGGGACTGCTTCCCTGCCTGACCTCCCAGACATTCATCACAACCACGGAGTTTTTCCGACTACGCTTCCCTCTGCTAGGAGAGAGGCCTGCGTGATGGTCACCACCACGGGACTCAGGCCAGAGACCTGGGGTCGGTCCCGCACAGGCTCTCACGAGCTGGTGCCACCGTTCATGAACGAATGTCTACTTAACACGCTCTGTGTGCCTGGGCCTCTGGTGGCTGCGAGGACCCAGGAGGGAGGAGAAAGCACACAGAGCTGCCCTGACCCATGGGGGCTGTGGCCGGAGAGCCAGTGCTCTGAGCAGAGGGACACAGACCCCGCTCAGCAGGGAGAGGTGAAGGCAGTGTGGCCAGGCACTGAGCAGCAGGGGTGTCAGGTCAGGTAAAGGCTGGAGAGGGGGGTTGGGCCCGAGGCCAGGGTACAGACCTGGCTGTCTCCTAAGACCCTTCGGACCACTGAAGAGCCTGACGCTGCCCCGTGGAGAGCAAGCTGGGAGGAAGGCTCCTCCGGGCATCTAGACCTCCCCATAAGCTTCAGGGTGCTGACAGCTCTCACGTGGCTGTTGGGTTGTCCTGCACAGGGCCCAGAATGACGGAAAGTGGTAGATGTTTTCATTACCACAGAAACAGGCCCTCCTGGTCTGTGGCCCACAGGTAAGAGCCCTCACCTCAATTCTCCTCCCAGAAAAACAAAACCACCACCACCAAACAGATCACCTCTCCTCCCCAAAATACTACACTGGAAATGGGAGGGTGGAAACCCAACTTTCCCATCTTCCTGGCCAGATCCCCAAGAGCTCATTTCTAGACTCCTTATTTGGGATCCCAGCTCTGTTCTTTGCTTCTCAGACATGAGCTGCATGCACACTTTTCTCTCCCCTTCCTTCTCTGTCCCTTCCATAAAATACTTGACCTGGCATTCCAGCCAATTAACCCCTTCTCATCCTATTAGGCAACTCTTCCTCCTTTCTGCTTTCAAGAAAGGGGGAGAACGCCCAGAGGAACGGCCCAGCTCAGAGAACTGGAGAGAACGGCATCCGGGGAGGGGGCGATCAGGGCCCCGTGCCTCATGTTCCACCGCTGCTGGGAGGGCGGCCGGGGTCCCCACCCGCCTGGTCCAGGCTGAACTGTCTCCCTGAGGATGGGCTCGGAGCTGATGCTGCAGCAGTGAACTTGGTACAGAGGTGGGGGAGCGCAGCAGCCCTGTTTCTTGGAATTGTGCGCCCTGACCATAGGACTGGGCTTGCTGAGGCCATGTTCATACTACTTGACCCTACTCAAGGTCATAGCTGTCTGGGCAAAGGGGAGTCGTGCAGCCTGATGGTGTAGACCATCGAAGTCTCTCCCCTGAGCCTTACTTCCTCTGCTGAGGGACCTTGGACAAGCATGTAAACTTCTGGGGTTGTAGTTTTCTCATCTGTAAATGGGAATAACAACAGTGCCCGCCTCATAAGGTAGTCATTTAGATTATCTGACTCAGAAGGGAACCCACTCAAAGTCCTCGGCCTGTGCCTGGCACACACAGTAGTGGGCTCAACTTCTACTGTTGACTTAGAATTGGGATCAAGAGACACTAGGCAACCATCCTGGTCGTCTCTGGGTGGAAAAACACGGGCTGTGGGATCTACATTTCGTGAGGTGCAAATCAAAGGACGGCACGCAATTCTGCAGCGAGACAGAGCCAGAGACAGAGACAGAGACAGAGCCAGAGCCAGAACCAGCAAGGCCAAGGGAGCCCGGGCAGGCCAGGAGCAGCAGCGTCAGCGAGAACAAGGCAGATGAGGTGAGCAGGGATCCGTAAGTGGAGAAAGGTGGGCGCTCTGCGGCCTGACATGGGCTCCCTCCTGCTGGAGGCCCTCGGGAAGCCCAGCTGTGCTGGGGACCTTCCAGTGCGCTCCTGGTCTGGATTGAGTCAGGCAGGGTTCTGGTTGTTACTTGCAGCTTGTGGCCCTGACACAACAGGAGAGGAGAGCAGGCGGCGACTTCCTGACGATAGGATCGTGCCCCTCGCACATGCCACAAGGATCCCAGCACCGAGCATAGCACCGGGACCTCAGAGGCACTCAGGGGACACACAGCAAGTGAACAAATGAACCAAGGAACATGGACAACAAGCCAAAGGACACTGAGCCAAGCTAAAGTGCACGGGTCATTCAGTCCCCTGCCTTCATCCCACAGTGACAGTGTCCTCCCTCAGCCTTGGGGTCATGTCTCCACTGGGGCCGCACCTGCAGGATGAGCAACATCTGGACTATGGATGAGGGCAGCTTGGACGGGGCCAGCAGCAGCAGGTCGCCCAGCTTCCCCTTCAGCAGGACCAGGTCGCGGAAGCCCAGCAGGGAGATCTGGCGAATGGTCAGCTCCTGGCCCTGGGGAGGAGAGAAGAGGCCGGGTTGGGAGGTGAGAGCTCGCTGGACCTGTCATCAACCACACAGGGTTCCGGACAACAAATGGGGACAAGATGAGGCGTCTGCAAGGACCAGGGGCGCCATCTAAGAATCCAAGACTTGGCCCCGCCATCCTTTAAGATATGCATGACTCATCTGCCTAAATGACCCAAGGACCATACAAGATGCACACAATGGGGGCCGTGCTGTCGGAGCTGTGAGCGCTCAGGAAGCAGGAAGAGAGAGGAGGGTGGGGAGAAAAGAGAAAAGATCAACCCCGCCCCCCCTCCTTCCAGGCTGCTTCCTCCACTTCATCTGTTAAATATTTATCACCCATCATGTGCCAGGCAGAGGAGGAAACAGGACCTGTTGGACTCGTGTAAACACATGTAACTCAAGAAGAAAAATAACTGGGAACGCAGAAGGACAGGGACTTGCTCAACTGTGGGGGGGGGCAGAGGATGAAAGTTACAACTAATAATCATGAGAGTCTGACTATGTGCTGGGCAGGATTCTAAGTATTCTAGACCTAAATGACACCTTTAATCCCCACGACCATCCTTTGAGATAGGGACTATCATAAAACCCCCTTCCCAGATAAACCCTAGAGGCCAGAGCGACAGTAATTCCCTCAAGGTACAGCCGAATTGCAAACCCACACCATCTCATCTCAGAGCTCCCGAGGCTTCCAGAACTGAAGGAGAAAGAAGGGCCCGTTTCTAAGCCTCTCCTCTGCACACGTATAGATGGTCACACCTAATTGGTTGCTCTTGGGAGAGACAAAGACATCCTTAGGGTACCCTCCCAAACAGGACGCGGCTTCCCATCCCTCACGCCGGCCAAGCTTTAAGGCAGTTTTAGGTTTCCTAGAACTCCTTAGGGTTTTACAGAAACACGGGCAAGAGGGGGTTTGCCATCTCATGCCCCCACCCTCCAGTCCCGACAGACAAACACACCCCCACTCACTCCCCACAGGCCCAGTGTAACCACCCCCTTGGGCTCGCCGTCCCTGCCCGCCTCCCACGGCAGTGCTCCCCTCCATCCTTTTCCAAGGTCCTGCGGTTCCCGGTGCTGGCACCACGTCCCAGCCTTCGGCACTGCCTGCCTGTCTCATGGGGGTCTGTGCCCTCGTGTCATCCCCGGGACTCCTTTCACTTTACAAGGCAGAAAAGTCAAAGGCCAAGTTCCACACCCACGAACACAGTGGGCACTCAAGCCACACCTGTCCAACGAGGAAGCAGGTCCCACACAGACACCGATGCACAAAGGGAGCTGCGAGCCGATAAAGCTGGACTAAGAGACAGCTCAGGAATGGTGCACCAGTAGAGAGAAGCCCTAACTCAGGGGTGCTCAAAATGGGGTGTCTGGACCAGCAGCAGTATCATTCGAGAAACTGTGGGGAGGTGGACAAGGGCAAATATCAGACCTGACAGCTTTTCAAGAGGAGCAGGACAGTACCCTCCTCAGACCCGCTCACCCGGGCTCTGCCTGCCTCTGAGCCTAACAGGGCCCCTCTTGGCCCTCGGATGACTGTGCTGGGGCCATGCGCGCCCAGATCCCACACTCGCCATTCTAAACCCACCTGGGTCACCACACCTTGGAATTCCCTGCTCAAATGGTCCTAAGAGGGACCCAGGTCTGCACGCCCCCTCCAATAGGATTGCCTAATAAAACACAAGCTATCTGGTCAAAAACTATTTGGGTAGTTTTTTTAGTATAAGTATGTCCCAAATATTGCATTATTCATTATTGATCTGAAATTCAAATTTACCTCAGCATCCTGTATTTTTATTTGCTAACTCTGGCAACCCTACCTCTCAAGTCTGTCGTCTTCAGACCACTGCTGGCCAAGGCGAGGTCTGTGGGCAGGGGCATGACTGTCCACAAAGGGCTGTAAATCCCCTCGCAGGGGTGCAAGATGGAGCTGAGATGGGCTGAAAAGCACAGTGGTCTGCAGGCCAGAGGCTCCTGTTGGAATGGCTGGGGGCTGGCCTGACCCGGGAAACGCACTCCGCAGGCATAACCTCCCAACTTTTAAATATTTGACATATACTTAAAAGAATTCCAAATTCCCTTAAAACACCATTCAGAGCACACAAGGACATGAGCCCTCACCTCCAGGACTAGGTAATTCCTGCCACTGCCAAGGGCCTGTCATTGCTGCGTCCCACACCTGCGCTTCAGTAAAGCCCGATTAGATTGGACGGGAAGCCTTAACCCCCAGGGGAGGACGGATGGAGAGCACAGGGCGGTGTAAGTGTGAGAGAGACATATATTTTGGACAGGAGTATCTCCTGGTCAGCCTGCCTGGGGCGTCCATCCTGTCCTGGCGCTGACCAGGCCTGCTCTGAGCCTCTGCTGGAGGGTGGAGGGGGGGAAGTCAACATGTGTGGTAGGATGGGCTGAGGCCACAAGCCAAAGACGCTAAGAGACGCTGCTCGTCTTGTCCTCGAAACGCCTCACGTGGCAGGAGATGAAGTGGAGCTGTGCTCAGCGTCATGAAATGAGCTGGCCCAGACCCAGTCCCGACTCGGAGTCTGGAGCTCTTTCTGCTGCATCACGTCTTCAGGAATCCCTTATGCAGGGCAAGGAGCATACTCCTTTCCCACAACTTGGGAGGAACAGGAAACTCGCTTAAAAATTGTGCTTCAAAGAATGGGAGGGGAAGAGAAAAGAAGGAAAGAAAGGAAACATAAAACTGCCCTTCCCCCATCCTCTCTCTTTCTGAAAAGCAAGAGGAAGCACACGACTCCGAGAGCGCGCAGACCCACGCAGCACCCAGAGGGAGACGAGGGCCCGCCAACTGCCCTCCGCTCAGGCTGGATGCTGCGTACAGACCCAGGGAGCCTGCTCCGGTCCCCCGAGGCCCTCAGCCCCCTCCGCGCCCAGGCCCCTGCTTCTCCCCCATCCACCAGGAGGCCCCAGGTGCAAAGGCCAAGAAAGGAGCCAGCCGGCCACGGCGGGGAGGAGGGGCTCCCAGCAAGACTGACCTGAACTGGATAAAATATTGCCTGCAAGGTGGGGAGGGTTTCGGTGAAGAAGTGGTCCCAGACTTCAGCCAGAACCTCAATGCGACCGTCACCTACACGAGGGCGAGAAGACAGGGGAGAAAGAGAAGAACTGGTCATTACTCGCAGGAGAGGCCAGAAGACAGTCCCACGTCAAACGGAGCGTGGGGCGCCGAGAAGGCCCACTGCATACATTTGATCTGCGCGCGTTACTACAGTAAACGCAGGACTGGACGGGGAGGCTCGACAGACAGCGAGCAAATATGCCTCCTACCCGCACCCCCTGACCCCCACGATACAGAAGAGGAGCTGAGTTTTGAAAATCACATAATTGCTGTCATCACAAGGATGGTCACATTACCAGGCGCTGCACAGAACCACCTATCTGTGAGACACCTCCTGAGGAGACTCGATAACCCCATTCTACAGGTTCAGAGAGGTCAAGGATCTGGCTCAAATTCACACAGTTAGAAGGCAGAGCTGGGATCCCAGAACCCATGCTCTTGAGCAGCATAATCCGGAAAGATTATGTGTACAGTTCTACATCATTTTGGTTTTTACCTAATAAGACACTGGCTTTTTTAGTCTGGATTTGAGCTGTCAGTTGAGGGAGGTGAAAAAAGGGCCTGGAAATGGTCACCTCCACCCACTGTTTGCAGTAAGTGGGAGGGCAGCTTCTCTGAAGAGGCCCCTGCACACACAGGACCCACCTCCTGACCCCGTGGCTACTCACACCCCCGGGATCAGGGAGGCTGAGCACGGCCAAGCGCCCCCCAGGCTAGACATGCACAGTGACCCAGCACCAGTGAAAGGCTGTGCGAGGAGCTGCCCCTGCAGGAGAGGCGGCCCGGGCAGAGGAGTCTGCTGGTTAACGACCTAGATTGCCCAGCTGATGGGCACCGTCTCTGCTCGCCTGAGGCAGAGACACTGGGTCAGCCGAGATCAGCACTGGCACTGCCAGTTCCACCAAACAGATCTGGAAAGATTGGCTTAGCATCTTCTGTCTCTTAACTCAATGGGCAACAAAAGCGGTGGCTGCCAGGGCAGGACCAGGAGCTGGCCGGGCCGAGGGCGTGCAGAGCTGGAAAGGTTGGGGGCGATACACTGGAGAAGTGCAAACCCACAGCGCCCCCCCCACTCGCCTCGCAAAGCACTTGTCACACTGTTGGGATCCCTCAGTCACCTCTCTGCCTCTTCCACCAGAACGCAGTGAGCACACGGGCCCGTCTGTCCTGCTCACCAACATACTTCCAGTGCTCAGCACGGTGCCGGGCACATCGATAAGTCAATTTCAGAAATCTTCCAAGGAATGAATGGCAAGCATCAAGTGTACAGGTTTTCACAGATGCTAGAGCTGGTGAGTGGAAGGAGATTCCATTTAACCCAAATATGAAACGGGACACAGCAGGACTTAATAGTTAGCTCCAACACTTTCCTTTGCTCTTAGGATAAAGAAAACCTCCATAACATAGTCTAACCTGACCCAGGAGAGGCTGTCTCCTTCTGTGTCTTCATCCTCCTCTGTATTCGCCCCAGCCTTCAGGCCCTGACTATGTGGATTTTATTTCAGCCCCTCATACATATCATGCTCCTTCATGCCACAGGGCCTTTGCATATGCTAGCCTCTCTGCTTAGACTGCTCTTCCCCTCCCCTCTTTGCCTAACCTACACCTGTATATCTTTCTAGCTACAGTTTGAGCATCACTCCCACATGAAAGTCTCCCCCATTGGTCAAATCCCCCTACTACAGATTGTGTTCTCAGTACTGGTCCTGGTTACAGTTTTATACTTGATGGCAGTTTGATTAATATCTGTCTCCATTGTCAGGCTGTGAGCATCATGAGGGCCTGTAATCCTATGATGGTTTTCTTCCCCGCCGTGTCCCCAGCACCTAGCAAAGGACCTGGCATTTAGTAGATAATCAGTACACGTTTGGATGAACCACTCACTCAGCATCGGCTTTTCAAGTGTAGGCCGTGCTAGTTCACATCGGGAGGAGTCGGGGATGTCGAAAGAGCTATCGGAAATGTCAGGGCATCCTGGTACCTAAAACTAGGTGACCCCGACATTCAGACAACGTACCCCAAAGGAGAAAAGGCTATTCCAGCTGCTGTGATGATGGCCTTACCCTGAACCTTCCATTGGAGACACCGGAGGCCCTTCAGACCTGCAGGGAGGGAGGGGGACTCCTGCAGGTCAGTGCTGGGGGCACCTTCCTCCCTTCCCTACCAAGATGGAAAGCTCACAGCCCGTGAGGTGGTCCCGCAGCCCCACAGCAGGGAGGTGCCTCTCCGAGAACCTGCGGCTAATTGCTGGCCGCAAACTTCAGAGAGAAATAGAGGCTTTGGAAAGTGTTCAGAGAACATCAGACAGACAGAGGCAACAAAGCAGGGTAGAAAGAGGTCAAGGAGGGAGGTGACCTCGCCACCAGAAAGAGCCCACAAGTCAAGGACTGAGCGCCCTGTAGAGATGCAGGGCGTTTGGATGCAAGTTCTAGACGACCGTGCTGTAAAAAATGTCCTCCAATGTACCACAGGAGCTGAGATCACCGGAGGCATACAGAACAGGAATGAGAATCTTCTTCCAAGTCAGGGTCACTAGAGTTCTAGAAAGGATTACTGGAAGTAAGATGGCATCTCTGCCCACATCGGAGCAACACCCGGATAAGAGCGGCCGCTGCCCTCTCCACAGCGACAAGGTGGGCGGACACACAAAAGCAAACACGCTCAGTAAAGCACAGGATGCTCAGCGAGGATGGACCGGCTCAGGCTGCCCAGCAAGGGCGGACCGGCTCAGGGTGCTCAGCGAGGATGGACTGGCTCAGGGTGCTCAGCGAGGGCGGACCGGCTCAGGGTGCTCAGCGAGAGCTGACCAGACCAGTTGTTTGCAAACTGTACTTTCTGGCAAGAGAATGCTTTGATCCAGTAGAAACCTTCGTTAGAGTTGCAATGCATAAAATAAAACAGTAGAGATGTTCTGGCTGCAGATGTGAAAGACCCTAAAAGGCCCCACACACCCTTTCACTGTGCAGAAAGGACCCTGACATTCAGGCCCCAGGACAAGCGGGGACCCAGAGAGCCACCTGGGCCCAGGCTCTCCAGTGATGCTCAAGGGATGACCTTTGTTTCTCCATCGAGCTTGTTCCTGAGTTCTCACTCTGAAGTCCCCTGTGTTCAGTGTCACTTCGGGTAACACTCAACTCTCCCTCCGAAGGGCACTCAAGTGTCCCCAAATGACTTACAGGCAGACCATGTGGCTGGAGACCATGCTCCTCTTCCCCTTACTAGTCAGCCACCTTGCACACTTGTGCAAGAGCCTGGCTCCAAGATGCAAAAGGGCCACTAAGTTCTTGTCGACGCCAGTCACTCCCACATCAGGCCTTGGGCCGGGGGGATGGATACGGCTGAAGAGTCTCAGCATAGATGTGTTCAAGGGCCTCAAGCCCACAGGTTCAGCCAGGCTTCAAATCGACAGGGTGAGTTGCCAGCCTCTATTCTTCCAAAGCTTTGTGAGCTCTTACAGTGGGCCCAGCCCTGGGACCCTCTGGTGTCGGTTTCTCCTTCTTCCTCCTACTTTGTCTTTCCAGGAGAACTTCACTGGACACGAGTCTCTTTCCCAGGAAATGGGGAGAAAACAAAGAGGTGGAGATGGAGGTATCTAGCCGAGAATGGAAGAAAAAGAAAGAGCCATTTGCACAGCCCCTGCATGCCGGGTATGGTGCTATGCTGGTCACACACCCTGTGCTCCCTACAATCCCCAGCCTCACTTAGCATTTCAGAATGATACAAACCAATGCTCAGAGAAACGAGAAACTTGCCAGAGCCACCCAGGAAGTAGGTGGCTGGCTAAGATCAGGTTCCACGCTGGAGGGAGCTGGGATCAGCCCTCGGCAGATCCCGGGTCGGCCGATTCTGGCCTTTGGTCCCATCTCCCATCTCCACTCAGAGCCCTCCTCTCCTGCCAGCTGGGCTCTAAAATCTCTTAAGACCAGCAGATTTTCCTTTGCCTATCAAGTCATACTCCAGGAAGGGTGCGCCTGCTCAGCCTCATGTCTCCCAAACAGACAGGCCTCTTGTCATGTGTGACCTCAAGAAACATCACAAAGGCCAATAGGAAACAGCCTGGATCGGACCAGAGGGAACAGCGTGGCAGCACCTACCGTACAATTGATCCCTTCAGAGCACACCACCAGTACACATCCTGTGAAAAAGCCCCTTAGAGAGGTCTCCAGAGAGAACACCCCAATCCCACCTCCTGTCTCAAAACGCAGCTGCACCTGGCACTGCCGTGAGCGGGGCTCAAACCAAAGTGCTGCCCCCAGCTAGAGAAGAAACAATGGGTGAACCACTCCCAGGCGCCCACACCTTTGCCCAGAAGCATTCCGGCTGCCCAGACCTCAAAGTCTGAGTCATAGGGACCCACTCAGCGAGGGCACCTTGTACTTGCCTTCACACAGCTTAATCTTCTCCTCCACAAACAACAGTCCTTTTGCAAGAAGCTGGTTCTGCCAAAAGAGAACAAAGAACACAAGAGTTGGGCTACTTCACGGCGGGACAAACTCTCTTCCACTGCCAGCGGGCGAGGGCACAGAGTTCTCGGCACCTGTGCGCCAGTCACGCCTCCAAGTTTAAGAAGCTTTCCGTCCTCTCGGAAAGCCTAGGCTTCAGGAGAAGACAGGGAGACATCTCAAGGCAAAGAGCGAGACGAAGCTGGCGTAGCCACCATCCCCATACCTCCCACCAGGGCAGAGGCAGCACGAGCTTGGCTGATTCTAGGGGAGGATGACACTTGGAGCCTTCGTCCAAACTCTAAACAGGGAACACTGAGGCAATGGTAAATTATGCTGAAATAATGATTGTTTTAGAAAAAAAAGATAAATTAGGCTTTCGCACGCTGACACGAAAGAGACTGCATACAAACTCTTAAGCAGCAGTATGTGTCTGTCGATGAGCGCGTGCATGGGAAAGTTGTGGAGAGAAAGAGTAAGGTTAAGCCCTTTTGCAGTTGCAGCCAACAATTTCTGGGTGTTCTGTGGACATCAGAGGGTTTGCGCCCTTCATCTCGCTTAATTCCAACCCCCACAATAACCCCATCAGGTCGGTGCCGTTACCCTGACTTTACTCACGGCAGTGAAGAGACTCGCCCCCAGCAGGCAGTGCTGGTCTTCCTGGCCCAGAAGCCACGTTCTGTCCACTCTGCTTTGCTGCCTTCAAGCAACTCTTCCCACCCAGACCACCTCCTCCCCTTGAAAGGACGCAGAGCAGCCTCTGCCAGGCACAGACGCTCCGAGAGCAAGGTGGGCTGGGGCTGCCCTCACGTCGTCACACCATCAGAGTGTCAAAGGCCTGCGCTCTGGGGCGGGGGCCCGAGATGAACGCATCCTACAAACCGAATGCATTTCTTAGTGTTCTCCTTTATAAAACCCTGTGATGGCAACGACGAGAGCATGCACGGCAGAGTGGAAAGAACTGGCTATCAGATGGGGTTCAAGTGCCAGCTCAGCCACATTCTAGCTGTGCGACCCTGAACTTCATTTCCCTGAGTCTTGAGCTTCTCATCTGTAAAATGGCATCCTACCAACAATACCATGACGTTCTCATAAGATTAATCATTGTACACACACGCGCACGCACACATGCACGCACACACAGTATTTTATGTCCCTAGCAATCAGTGGTAGCGGGTAACGATGATAATAGTTGCTTTCTTAGTCCAACTCTCTTCACAAAAGGAGTGGGAGGTAAAGAGAGTCAGTAACAAAGGGGCCCACATCAAAAATATTAAAATATCTATCAAAGGGGCCCACATCAAAATAGATAGATATTAAAATATCTATCAAAGGGGCCCACATCAAAATAGATAGATATTAAAATATCTATCAAAGGGGCCCACATCAAAAATATTAAAATATCTATCAGAAATATCACATTTCTGTGACTAATGCACATAAACCAAATTTCAGAGGTCCTACTAAGAGTCACAAGATATGACCTAATTTTAAAAAGTAATTGGCCACCATTTCATCTCAAGACAGCAGATGGAACCCCAAATCAAAGGGACGGTGACATCTTCCAGGAGGACACTAACTGTTAAAGAAAAAAACCAATTCCTTTACGAAGACTTAAAGAATGGATAGCTAATTAAGGCAAAACCCTAGCTGTGTTCTCTACCTTCCAGCCACGACAGTGAGTCCTAGCAGCTTCTGGGTCAGAAAGCAAGAAAACACCACAGCACCCAATTCAGATTACCGAAATCAAGGCTCTGCGGCAGCCGAGCGGAACGGGAGGGGACTACACAAGTGCCTGCAGATGGCAGTCCCTCTGTGAGACGTCCTGGGCAGACATCCTAGATGGCGCCTGGAGGCTTTGCCCAGGTCCCTGTCACTGGTCCAGACCAGGCTCTCAGAACATCCCCTCGCACTCTGTGCAAGGGCCCCTGAGGCCGTTATTCTGTCACCACCTCTAACGTCAACACTGCTGCCCCAGCCTTCTCCCAAAACAACTTTACGAGCCCTCCTTGATTTTGTTTTCTGAGGTGTCCCTCCAAATGTAACAGAGACCCCCTCTAGGAAGCAGTTTCCATCGTGTTGTTCCATCTCTATACTTATCTACATTTTGGGGAGGGGGGCACTGAGGCACTGGGAGAAATCAGAGCCTAGCGGTAATAAGAGAAAGGAATTCCAGCCCTCTGTCAGAGGTGTTAGGATGTGAGGACCCCTTCTTCTTGGAGCAGCCCTGGCTCTGAGAACAGTGCCTAGAACAAGCAGACACGTAACAAACATCCGCTGAGTAGATACCACCTGCTTTGGTGCTGAAGACCATTTTGTACTTTTAAGAAATCAAGGTAAGAGAGAGAACATTTTTAAGAGGGGCAAAAATGATACGGGGCCCTAAATCTGTTGACACTTTCTTCATTTGATAAAACTCACTTTGTATCTTAAGGGAAAGTTTTAAAAGGCCTACGTCCCCCTTCCTTCTTCTTTCCAGTTCTTCCCCCTTCAAGTAGACATTTGGGGAAAAGAAATTTTTTTCAAGGAAAAGAAGATATTTGTGTATTATGGAGAAATGAAAGAGAAAACATTCTAAAAATTCTCACAATATACCCCATGGAGATTCTGTAGCGTGGACTGAAATTAGAGCAACAAGACTGGGTTCAGACGGGGCCTAAGGACCAGCCAGTCAGCCCCTCCTCTCCCCAGGCCTATGGTCAAAGTCCATTGGTCGCACAGTTTTGACGATATTGGGTGGACCCATTTTCCAGGAAGCTAAAGCACCTTTCAAAAGCATCTTGAAAATTCTTATACCCCTAGGAATTCATAGATTTTGCCCTTATTTTACAGTTGAATAAGCTGAGGCTGGAAGTAAGGCCTCCATCTTTTGTGCGGCATGTGCTGGTGGAGTAAGATCGTTCAGGTCAGTCTAGCCCACAGCAGCCTTCCAGGAGCATGGGTGGCCATCTACCTGAGGCTCAAACCCCTGGGCACAACCTGCATCTTCCAGCTTAGGTGACTGGCTCCATTCCCATCCCTACCCCGCCTGGGTCTCAAAGTGGGTCAGGGACCTCTCCTGGCAATCTGCAGTCACACAGGCCCCCACAGGCCAAAGGGTCCCATGTTCCAAAGGGCCTCGTGCTCTGAAGGGCCCCGCCCTGGGGGTTGAGTGCTCTGCAGTTCCATCTTCAATTCTTCCTATTTGTATCCTTGAATCTGTGTTTAGTACATGAAATCTGAGAGGCAATGGAGCGTGTATGTCCTGGCGGCTTGGAGCCTCAGCTCCCCATGGTCCTGCCTCCTACTGCCTCCCAGGAGGGCTTTTCAGGCCCCTGCCCCCCATGCCCTGGCGCCTGGCCCTGCCGGGTTTCCCCTGCTCCTCCCCCCGTGCATCCTACTCCCTAGGTGGTGCGCGTCGCGTTGGTGGGGGCTGATGCAGGGTGGGTTGGGGCTGGGCATGCACCCTGCAGCATCTTGGGCAGAGGCGTGGTAGCGGCCCTCCCCATCCTGGGCTGGCACAGCTGTGGCTTGAGTGCTGGTGACGCAGTGGGGGACCCTCTCATCTAGGCACTGAGAGCACAAAGGTTACCATCTCTGGGGGTCATCTGTCCCCCATGAGTTGTGACAGCAGGCTCATGGGAAGGGGAGACCGACTCCCCCACCCCAGCCAGGGCCGCATTTCCATTCTGCACTGGGCCCCACAAATTACGAAGCCCGCCCTGTCTGCTGGATGTGCCAACTGGACATCAGTGGGGCTTAAGGCTGCTGAGAGAAAGAAAAATGAAAGAAAGAGAAAAGAAAAAACCAGCCTTGACTGAGGCAGCTGCCTTACACCGTTTGTCTGTCTGAGCGTCTGTCCTCCCGGGCTCATCTCACGGAATCCTCGCCCCTGACAAACGCCTGACTCCAGAAGGTGCTGAGTACATGTTCGCTGTGGGGCAGTGGTGATGGAGCTGCATGGTGACAGAGCTGGAAAGAACCTGACTTTTCTCTTGTCGCACTCCCTGCCCGATGGTACCTACCTGGTCACCTCCCCAGCCCGAAGGCTTCAAGCCAAAAAAAATGGTGACATCAAATAGAGCCACCTAGGAAATGATTCGGGACTTGGAACCGGCCCGCTGTTCCTTCAGACATCCCCTGCCCCATAAATGAACTTAGACGTGGAACACACAGCACTTTAACGAACTGGCAGAGGAGCCGGGAAGTGAAAAACAGCTGACATATCTATTTTTCCTAAGACATCGAAAAATGGGCTGCCAACAGAAAAACAAGTTTCAGCTAGAAAAAAATGCAAAAAACAAGGCTCTCTGGGGAAAGGCATCCAGAACCACATGGTTTTCAGTGGGTTGGAAAGACCTGGCGCGTGCTGGGTAATCACGGAGGGCAGGCAGGGAGAGGCTGGGGAGGGCAGGGGAGAGGGTGCGTGGCTGCAGTGCAGGGCTTGTCAACGGCATGCACCCCTCTCCGTCAGGCACCTCCCCAACCGGCCAGAGGGACTCAGGAAAACGGAGACCCAACGAGACTAGGGGACGAGGAGAACAACGCTGCCCTGTGATCCCCGAGGGAAGAGCTTTCCACGCAGCAGGCATCCTGCTGATGCTAAGGCTGCTAGCCACTGTTGCTTCCATCACTTCAGCAGTGATGATGGTGATGATGACAGAAGAATGCCACTAGTTATTTACTGGTTCTTACTCTGTGAGGCGCTGTATGACACCTTTTTCATGCATTATCTCATATTACCTTTGCCACAAACCTACGCCCTTTGTGCAGATGAAGAAACTGAGGCTCAGAGAAGCAACTAGCAAATGAGACCAGAATTTGCACCCAGGTTGGTCTGAATCCAAAGCCCATTCCTCCAGTTGACTTTAGCAATGATAAGAAAAAATACAAAGAGATGAAGCACCATTATTCCTTGGCTGCTCACTACGTACCACCCACCTTGCATACGTCATCTCATCTAGTAACCACATCAACCTTTGTGTTTTTTTAAAGTTAAAATGTCTTTATTTTGCACA